CAATTCTCATGAAACAAAGCCACCCAGTCTCTTATTTCAGCTAGATAATGGAAGGGAGGTGGAGGACAACATCAACATATTTGAAAGAGTTACAAGCTCTAGCTGCTACCGTCCAGAAATGGCGTCATTATTTGCTCGGGAGTTCATTTATTATTAAAATTGATCATTTTAGTCTTAAGGAGTTCCTGACCTAGACAATCCACAGTCAAGACAAAAAATCCTTCACAAGTTACTATGTATGGTTTTCGAATTGAATATAAGCCAAGAAAAATGAACGTAGGTGCAGACGCTTTATCAGGCATGTATGGGGCTACTTGTGTGATGTTGATTGCTAGTTGGCCTGTACTAGAGTTCCTAGAGATTTTGCATCGGGAAAACACTGGGTTGGAAGACCTTAAAGTCCTTCATCAACACATGGATGCTAACAAATTATCGGCAGATTTTTCGCGAAGGCACAATATTTTATTTTACCGTCAGCGCTATTATATTAACACCAGTCATCTTTGAAACCAACTTTATTGCTGTAATTTCATGCATCTAAGGTTGCCAGGCATTATGGAGTGAAGCGCATGATGGTCCGATTTTCAACTTTATTCTTTTGGTCGTACATGCGACGTGACGGTGAGGTTTTCGTTGCATCTTGTTTAACTTGTCAACAAACCAAATTTCTTACTAATGCTCCAAATGGGTTGTTGCAACCACTTCCGGTTCCAGAGACTGTGTGGGATAAGCTCCCAATGGATTTTATTGTTGGTCTACCCCATTCACAAGGGTGCACTGTTATTATTGTGGTGGTTGACCGGCTCACAAAGTATGCCCATTTTGGGGCTTTACTAACTCACTTCACGGCCAAAAGAGCGGCACAGCTTTTTGTTGACATTGTTATCAAACACCATGGGTTCCCAAAGTCAATTATATCTGATCGAGACCCAATCTTTACATGCACATTTTGGAGCACATTGTTCGAGTTAAGTGGTACGAGCCTTCGACATAGTACCTCGTATCATCCCCAAACTTATGGTTAAAAGGAGGTGGTAAACTGGGGAATTGAGCAATATCTTTGGGCATTTGTAAGTGATACGGTCTCGTTACTAAGTTGGGCGAAATTTAGTTATAAAAGCAGCTACAACCAATGTCTAAAAATGTGTCCATTCCAAGCCTTGTATGGTAGACTTCTCCTAGTTATTCCCCATTATATATGCTCCAAACTCCACCAATATCAGTGTCTTGGATGATCTCTTGAAGGACTGTAATATACTCCTAGCCCAGCTCAAGGAGAACCTAGCTGCTGCTCAAAATCGAATGGTGCAAATGTCTAATCGTAAGCGTCGCGAGGTCAAATACCAAGAGGGTGATATAGTCTGGGTGAAACTCCAACCCTTTCGGTTGTAAAAACGTCCATTCCCTAAACAAAGTGCTCGCTACTTTAGACCATTTGCAATTGTGGAACGGGTTGAGCCTGTTGCCTACCTTTGCAACTGCCGCAGTCTTAGAAGATTCATCCGGTCTTTCACGACTCTATCCTTAAACCTTGCCGAGGTAATGCCATGGAATTACACAAACCAACTATCTCAGTCGACTTCCTTTAGGATATGTCCTCAGTACTGGTTTAGAATTTGGACACTCGCACTATTCTTCGTGGGGGAGTACTTGAACATCCGGCTCTAATTCACTGAGTTGATTTGCCTCCTGAGGAGGCTATATGGGTTCCTGGAAATGTAATTTCTAACCTTTTTCCTAGCCTTCACCTTGAGGACAAGGTGACTTCTGGAGATGGGGGTATTGATACAACACTGCCACTGTTGAGTTCAAGTCAAAAGGGCGAGAGAAATGGCATGCATGTAGAACGCGGAACTAGTAATACCAGGCCGAGGAGGATGCACAATATGTCGAGTCGCTTTAGCTTATATTGTTATTTCTCTATTCTATTTAAAGCTTTGTAATAAGCAGTAATGCAGTCGTGAAATACAGCTGTTCTTGAGCATTATTTATTTTCGTGGGAGTTTGGTTCTTGCTCGAAAATGACTATCGATATGTTTGCGGGGCGATCGTATCAGGACACGACAAGACAAGCAAGTGTTGTCTCAAGTGTTGTCTAGAAACTCTTTAGATTATGTGTTAATTCAAAATCTGATTGTCTAATTTATATTAGGTTGAAATTATTCCTGAAATTATACCCGTCGGACATGATTTTTGTAAAAATATTTATTATTTTTTTTATGATGACATGGGTTGCATGCTTGCAACCCTGTCAAAAGGCTGTGATAGCATTTTGTACTTTTTTTATATATTTGTTTTACTTTTGAATATTTTATTTGTTTTGTTTTGATGTGATGTAAATGTGGGACTCCTTTTGAAAGTGAGAGAATATTATAGGGATGTAGGTAAAATAGTAAATGAATTGCAAATTTAGTGATGTGAAAGTATTACCCAATTTTGAAAATGAGAGAGTATTGCAAGGATAAAGTTAATATTATGATTCTTTTAAAATGGTTTTTGAACAAAAGACCGCTTTTACTTTTTTTTTTTTTTTTTTTGCCTCCTAGTCTATCTGAATGAATTAATTATAATTATTATAAAAATAAATGCACACTACTACACAACAAGCTTTTAACGTCGGCTAAATAGAGCTTTTAACATCGACTATGTTCCGTAGTTGTTCTGGGCGACGTTGTAAATATTATCTATAACGTCGGCTATTTATATAGCCGGCGTTATATATTATTTTAAAAAAAATAAATAAAGTTTACAACGTCGGCTAATAGCATTTAGCCGACGTTGTATAGTATTTTAAAAAAAAAAATTAAAATACTTACAACGTCGGCTAAATGCTATTAGCCGATGTTGTAGGTATTTTAATTTTTTATAAAATACCTACAACGTCGGCTATTAGCCTTTAGCCGACGTTGTAAGTATTTTAATTTTTTTTAAAATACTATACAATGTCGGCTAAACGCTATTAGCCGACGTTGTAAACGTTATTTATTTTTTAAAAAAATATATTCAACGTCGGCTATTAAGTTAATAGCCGACGTTGTATGTTTTTTTTTAATATACAATTTATTTGTCCATTTATATTCAAAAACCTGCTCAAATCTACTCACAACCACAATCACAATCTAAACCTGCTCAATTTCTCACAACCACAACCAAAACCTGCTCAATTATTGCACCACAATCACAACAAAATATGTAGAATCTAATATTTATAATGAAACAAGTAATAAAAGTAATAAATCTCACAATTTAATACTAATTAATAATACAAGTTAACATTATCAAAAGCTAATATCAATTTGTTCAATTTACATACTTAACCATACATCAACAAAGAAGTCGGCACATACATCTCTTACTTGATCAATTTCTTGTTGAGTGTAGCTCGATCTACCAACTCTCTCAACAATCTACAAAGTTGATAATTATTAAATATTAGTAAGCTAGCATTTTTAAAATTAGAAAGAGAAAGGTATTATATTAAATTACATGCCTTATCCATTCCCGCACATGTTTCTTTGGAAAGAATTTCAAGCATGTATTTCATCACATAATATCCACATGCCGTAGTTCCAACTTGTTGAGCACACTACATTTGAATTAAATTACATTTAAAATTTTATTTAATAAAAAACAATAAAATATATGTAGTTTTACAAATGTATAAAATACTTACCAAAATCGTAGTCCATTTTGGTGAACGAGTTGATCCATTGCTTCTCAACAACTTTGCTGAATTGACACACCTAAAATTATAAGAGATTAGTTTACATAAATACTTTATACTTTATTAATTATACATATTAATACTTATAAGTTCACATACTTTTCAACAATATCTTTGATGTCATCACGTGGCTGGCCTCCAATTGAATCAAACCAATAGATTTCATTAAGTTGAGGACAAATTGCCATCAACATCCAATGATCACTACAAATCAATAATGTATTAGTTGTAAGTAAATATAATATATAATAAAAGTGTATTATATATAAGTTATTTTATTTTAAACAATTAAAACTTACTTTAAAATATATGGCGCTAGATAGCATTGTTTTTGGCCATATTGCATGGTGATGTTGATATACCCTGTCCGTTCATCTATAGAATTCGAAATTGGTTGAATGAAATGTGGATCTAAGAAGCCATATGTGGTCTTTGATGCCAAATCAAATTTGTCATAAAGACCCCTATTCAAAAGTACAATCAATAATATATATTAGTAATATAATAGATGAAATGAAAAATTTTATATAAACAAATATAAGTAAAGAACTTAATTATTACCTTATAAAGAACTGCAATATGGAAACATCTAATGTCTCCATCCTTAAGAAACGTATAATCTCCAACGGGTCAAGTTGTAAGGGATAGTCAACATCGCCTACAATACCACGCTCGATCTTTATCACAACATTTTCATCAAGTTTGCGAATAATTTTTATATACCTTTAGACATCGAAGACTAAAAGAAGTCGGATCAGCTATATTTAGATCAGCAAAAGGTCGTTGCACACCGGAATCATAAGTCATTTGTACCTGTTCAATATAACAAATTAAATACAATTAATTCAATAGTTTTATAAATAAGTTGCATACCGTGATATCATCCCACACCAACGCTTTACTCTCTTCTGGGACCACTTTCCAATCTTTATATGTGATTGGAACTTTGCTCCGTGCAATCAACGTAAAGTAACTTTTGAATTGGGTGCTCCCTGGCCCAACAGCTTCGTGTTTACTATTAAATTGAACCACCAATTTTGTGTCACCACGCCCAGAAATTAATTTTGTCATAACGGTGGCACCCCTCTTCTTAGCTTTGGTATTAGTACCTTTAGCTTGGATGGTACTATCAACAGAGGGGTCATTTGATGAATCCATATGCCTGTTTAGCAAAGAAATTATTAGTGAATTGACAAAAGAATAATATACATAAATATAACTGTAAATATTTAGATATAGTAAACACAAGAAGAAGTTAAAGCATTACAAATAATAATCAATTCTCCCATAGCCCCTCATGATGATCATCACGTGATGCATGCACTTCATCTATCTCATTATCTATAATAACTGGTAATAAACTTGAAGAAAAGGGTGGTATTTCCTCAATCTCATAACTAACATCTTCATTCCCTTCACCAGTAATTTGTCTCTTTCCATGAAGAACAACAGACCATTTTTTATCACTAGGATCAGTAACAAAAAATACTTGTTTTGCTTGAGATGCCATTATGAATTGCTCATTTTTGTGACCTTCCCTGTTCAAATCGACAAGTGTAAACCCTAACTCATCAGCTTTAACACCGTGTTTACTATCTACCCATTTACATCGGAACATCGGCACTTTGAACTGAACATAATCAACCTCCCATATTTCTTCAAATCACACCATAATATGACAACTCTGCAATGACCGGATTTTTATCTTTCGAACTACTGAAGTGCACTGAATTTGCAACCAAAGAAACTCCACTGTTTTGCATAGTGCTTTTTTCATCTTGTTTTTTTGTATAAAAAGAAAATCCATTTATATCATATCCAGTATAACATATGACTTGCATACAAGGACCATGAGCTAACCATCGTACTGTTTCAGAATAGTTAGTAGCACTCAGAACTTTCTTCTTGAACCAACTAATAAAAGTACGATTATGTTCGCTCACAATCCACATGTCTGTCTTTCTTGGATTTTGATCTTTAATCAATGCCTTGTGCTCATCTAAATATGGCTCGACTTCACTTGTATTATGCAAGATGTACAAATGTGCTTCCTCAATATCTTCACGAGGCATACCGGCTACTTTGCGTCCTCGAGTACCTTTCCCAGCACTTCTTCCTTCATATCGATACTTAGAAAGACCAATAGCTTCTACCCCCGCCAAATATTCAGTACAAAATTCAGTTACCTCCTTAGCAATATAACTTTCAACAATAGATGCTTCTGGTCAATATCGATTCCTCACATAACCTTTTAAGACTTTCATGTACCGTTCAAATGGGTACATCCACCTCAAATAAGCAGGACCGCACTGTTTGATCTCTCGCACCAGATGTACAACCAAATGAACCATGACATCAAAAAATGACGGTGGAAAATACATCTCCAACTGAGACAATGTAACAACAATGCCATTTTGCAATTCATCTAGTTTGTCTGGATCAATCACTTTTCCACAAATAGCATTGAAAAAGAAACAAAACCTAATAATAGTATATCTCAACTTTTTGGGCAATATACCTCTAACAGCCACTGGCAATAGTTGCTGCATTAAGGCATGACAATCATGAGATTTCAATCCCACCAATTTTAAATCTTGCATATTCACAAGTGTTCTAATATTTGATGAGTACCATTGTGGTACCTTGACTCCACGTAAACACTCACAAAAATTTATTTTCTCCTTTCTTGATAAAGTATGAGCAGCTGGAGGCAAATATGTCTTCTTATCCCCTTGGCGTGGAGCTAATGTTGCTCTTATGTTCATTTCAATCAAGTCTAATCTAGCATTGAGTCCATCTTTAGTCTTACCTTTTATATCTAAAAGAGTTCCAACAAGACTAACACACACATTTTTCTCCACATGCATCACATCAATACTATGTCTCACATCTAATGTCTTCCAATATGGAAGATCAAAAAATATGAATTTCTTTTTCCATGGACTCTTTTCATTTGGAGTTACCTCAACATTAGCTCTTAACCTCTTACCTCGTTGAGATTTAAGTTTTTGAGTTTTACCAAAAGTAACATTTATACCTTTTACACATTCATAAACTTCAATCCCAGTCATTGGTTGTGGAGCATCTGTATAGTATTGTTGCCCATTGAAAGCCTTTTTTAATCTCCTGTAAGGGTGAGCTCTATCAAGAAACCTCCGGTGACCCAAGTAGACTGACTTTCTGCCATGGACAAGTTGTGTATAACATGTATTATCTTCACATATAGGGCATGCCTTATGTCCTTTGACACTATACCCAGCCAGGTTTCCATAAGCTGGAAAGTCATTGATTGTGCAAAAAAGCATAGCATGCAACTTAAAATTCTCTTTCCGGTAGGCATCAAACACTAACACACCTTCATCCCACAATTTTTTCAAGTCATCAATCAAAGGTGCCAAAAAGACATCTATATCATTACCGGGTTGTTTTGGGCCAGAAATCATCAAGGACAGTAATATATATTTGCGTTTCATACACAACCAAGGAAGTAGATTATAAATCACTAACATAACTGGCCACGAGCTATGCTTGCTACTTAGGTTCCCGTGGGGGTTTATACCATCTGTACAAAGGCCAAGTCTAAGATTTCTGGACTCATTGCCAAATTCAGGAAAAACATTATCAAAGGTTTTCCATTGAGTAGAATCAGCTGGGTGTCGAAGCTTGCCATCAGAAATTTTTTGATCTGCATGCCATGTTAAGTTTTTCGCGTCGCATGAATTTGCAAACATACGCTTAAATCTTGGAAGAATTGGGAGATACCACATAACTTTAGCTGGTGGCCCTTTCGAACTTGCCTTACCAACAACATGCTCTCTTATTTTGTACCGAGATGCCCCACAGATCGGACATGCATTCAATTCTTTGTAATCATTCCTAAACAATATGCAATCGTTAGGACAAGCATGTATCTTTTCATACTCCATACCCATGGGACACATAATCTTCTTTGCATCATATGTACTCTTCGGGAGTCCATTATCTTCTGGGAGCATATCGTTTATTAAATCAAGTAAAGCAGTAAAGCTCTTGTTGCTCCATCCATTCCCAGCTTTTAAGTTGAATAATTTCAAAACAGCAGATAAGCGAGTATATTTACTACACCCGGGCCATAAAGGCTGTTTTGAATCATTTAATAATTCATCCAACTCATTTGATCGATTTGTGAACTCTTCTCCAACATCACGGAACATTTCGTCCAACCTATCTTCAGACTCATCATCTTCATTTGCTTCGTTGTCAACATACATGTTAGATGTACTAGTTTCTCTTCCTCCTTCACCGTGCCATATCCATTTTGTATAATTTAGATTAATTCCATCACAAATTAGATGATCATATATGTCCTTGGCACTTAATAGTTTTAGATTACAACACTTCTTACAAGGACACCAAAACGGTGCATCATTATTTGGAAGATGACGTTTTGCAAACTCTATAAATTCTCTAACTCCGACTTCATATTCCGTACTCAACCGAGAAGCTTTCATCGAACTTTTATCCATCACAAGTCAATCTAGGATAATATTAATTCCAATTAAACTTTTGTTAACATGATTCAACTCTATCTAAAATAATTGTTGTGGTAAAAATAGACTAGTAATTACAAATATATACAAATAAACCCTAAAATGTAAATAAATTGACTAAAATTCAAAATTAATCAATAATAATTACAAGTATATAAAAATAAATCCTAAAATGCAAATAAATTTGTAAAATAAAATAAGAAAATTAAAGAAACAAAAATTTATAAAAATGGAGAATGAAAATTAAAAAACTGAAAATTAAAAACATAGAAATGATGTAAACGACTTTTAAATTTTGCTATTTTGTCCAACTATAAGAAGAAAAAAAAAAATCTATTTTTTGTCCTAAATGAGACTCCTAAGAAATTAAACTCTTAAGACTTAAACCAATTGGTATAAAGTATACACTCCACAAAAGTGAGAAGTCATCCCCAATACACTTAAAAAAGAGTTCAACGAGTAACCTAGTTGGTTTCGTTTGCAATTCATATGAAAGGCTAGCTGTCACAGAAGTTCATAAACCACTATAAAAATAGTCTCAATTTGTCTATTACTTGCTCTTTTTTTTTTTTTAATTGATCGCTTGAATTCAAACACACACGTATCATTTTCTAACTCTAGCAAACTTTCAGATTAGCTAGAAATCAAATTAGCAAGCTTATGCCATTTGCTCTGAGAACTGTTGACAGTATTTACATTTCAAGAACGCATACTTTTTGTAGCATTCTCCATAGACAACACCAATGATGATTTTAGGAAACCATACCCATCATAAACTAATACTTTGCAATTAATCAATAATAATTATAAATATATACAAATAAACCCTAAAATGCAAATAAATGGACTAAAAATCGAAATTAATCAATAATAATTACAAATATATACAAATAAACTCTAAAATGCACATAAATTGACTAAAATTCAAAATTAATCAATAAAAATTACAAATATATACAAATAAACCCTAAAATGTAAATAAATTGACTAAAATTCGAAATTAATCATTAAAACTTACAAATATATACAAACAAACCCTAAATTGCAAATCAATTTAATAAAATTCGAAATTAATTAATAATAATTAAATATATATATATATATATATATATATATATATATATATATATATATAACTTACCGGCAGTCGTCCGTCGATGCCTCCGTCGACGATGGCGTAGCGGCGGAGGGAAGCTGCCGGTCTGAGACGGTGCGGCCGCGGGGAGGAGAGGGTGAAGCGGCGGCGGCGGGGGGTTGCAGTTGCAGCGGCGGAGGAATGAAGTTGCAGCGGCGGCGCGAGGACGACGTCGGCGGGGAAGGACTGTGCGTCGGGGACGAAGTCGACGGGTTGCAGCGGCGTCGGCAGCGGTGGTCTCAGATCGGGGAAGAAGAGATGGAGGAGAGGGGAGGAGATCGAAGAGATGGAGGAGATGGTAGCTGAGATCGGGTCGTCAGTCAACCCTATTTTATAACGTTTATAACGTCGGCTACCGAAGGTAGCCGACGTTAAAAAGAAAAAAAAAATAAAATAAAAAATTGAAAAGGATACGACGTCGGCTAGATAGACAGCCGACGTCGTATTAGATTTTTTTTTTCTTTATAACGTCAGCTAAAGAGATTTAGCCGACGTTATATATAAATAATTTTAAAAAAAAAATATTAAACCACCTACAACGTCGGCTATTAGTATAGCCGACGTCGTAGATTACGTATTTCTTTTATATTTTTATGTTTTATTTATAACATCGGCTATTACTAAATAGCCGACGTTATAAACTTAATTATAAAAAAAAAAATTAAATATTTTTAACGTCGGCTATTTATATAGCCGACGTTAAAGACCCGACGTTGTATGTGAATTCTGTAGTAGTGGCAACGATCCATGTTTAATTATAATTATACTAATATTTATATAATTATTAACTTAATTAACATAATAATTATCATTCAATTATTATAATAAAAATAATTATTAGCTTAATTAATTGTAATTTTTATAAAAATAAATTGATTTGTTGGGATGGTCAGTTTTGACCTACACTTATTTAATTTTATGTTCACTTTCATCAATGTTGCAGTTAACAATCCGTCAAATTAATCAAATCGTTTACCCTATACATCAACGTTTGTCACGTGCACCTGTCAAAGTGTCAAACCCAAACACCCCCTATATAAAAAGAAATCAAAAAATTAAAGTAAAAATGTGTGTGTATACATAATTTCATTCGTCAAACATCTTGTTCTCAGATGACATGTAGTGACCTCTCTCATGTCGGAGGTCATGAGATCGAGCCTCAGTGGATACGTTGTTGACTGTGCTTCATTAGATTGATAAAGTATATTTGAACAATTGAACATATACTACAATGTAATAGAGTCAATAGCATTAAAATATATATATATATATATAATATATATAACACTGCACTCAAATTGGTTGCAGGGTAATATTTCAAATGCTGCACTTTGTAATTTTGTTCAGAGCATTTTCAAAATTTGTTATAATACGATAATTTTCTCCTTATTTGTTGATCATCTCAAATAAACAGATTTTCAATTTTTTTTTACAAAAAACATTATTGTTCTCATATATAGGGCCTATTCAATCATTAAATGAAATATGTATCAATATTTTCTTAATTATAATATATAAACAAAGAAGTGAAGAGTGTAAAAATCCAATAAAATTTGGTAAATATATATCCAATAATTTTTTTTTTTTTGGATAAAAACAACGTCCTTCAAACATAAGATAAATAATAATATATTAAGGGTCCATTTCCAAACACAAACAATATTTTTTTTGTAAAATATTTAATTTCGATTGTTTAGTATTTGGCTAAAATTAAAGTTGAAAAACATTCATTTTTCTGTTTTGTTGAAAATTTAAAAACTTGTATTTTATTTGTTTGTTTGTCTTTTAAAAACATGAACATAAATTTATTACAAATTTATTTCTTATAAAATATTAATTATTTTAATAATGATAATAGTAATTATTTATTTTAAAATAAAAGTATAAATTAAAGTTTATAATAGTTATTGATGATTTTTAATGGATCAGGCCTACCACAAAAACATATTAATATGAGAAAATAAGGATGCGGCAAAAAAGACTAAAATACTATATTCACATGCCAAAGGTCTTTAAAAATAACAATTGTGTTACAAAATAAAGGAATAACCCAAACCCAATTCCCCCAACCCGTGGTTGGTTAGTTGACTAAAGGTGCAAAGTGGACACGGTTCTATGTTCATAATTACTGAACTCTATGTTTATAATTATAAAACTTTATGTTCATAATTTTTGAACTCTATATTTACAATTATAGAACTCTATGTTCATAATTATAAAACTTTATGTTCATAATTTTTTAACTTCATATTCACCATTATTGAACTCTATATTCACAATTACAGAACTCTATGTTCATAATTATAGAACTCTGTATTCATAATTTTTGAACTCTATATTCACAATTATGACAAATTTGGAATCGTGCCCACCTTGCAAGGTGGACACGGTTCCACAGCATAATTTGCCCTAAAGGTGTGGAGCCAGTTGGAAGGTGCCAACCACAAAGCCATACAACTTAGACCAACGCCATACTAGGTGGAGATGTTTCGTTGAAGAAGATGATGTCTGGAAGGGACAAGAACCCCAACCCTCACCCCCTTTTAATACTATTCCAAGATGCTGAAGACATGGGTAGGCATGTTGGCGCGATCACTCGAAGACTCCCAACCACACATGTGTCTCCTCCAATTGACTAACCTTCGTGCCAAGCTACAACGTTGTGAACAAAGCTTAAGGTCCTGCCAACGCCATGTGTCATTCCCTTAGCTCCACCGCTACTGCCCAAGGTCGTTGTGGCTTGGTTATGACCAACCAAGCCCCGCCTAGGTCTGGCTAGCGCTACGCCAACTAGTCAGACACCATCGAATAGCCTGGCTAATCGCTCCGACGGGCAAGGCCTCCCTCAGACCAGCTACGCCATTGGTGGCCCGTAGTTGCCGACATAGGTCCGCCGAGGTGCATGCCAGTCGATTACCGTCCCCTGGCCACACCAATGATCGTGGATGAGGCACCCGCTAGGAGAGGTCAATCCAACCCCCCTCCCATGTGCCTTCTTACAGCTCCTCTCTTTTCTATTTTGTCAAACGCACCCTTAGCCCCTTTCTTTAAAAGGCCAACATAAAATTGAAAATTCCCTACTTGCCTTATTGGATCCCTAACCTCTTGGCCCGAAATTACAAACCCTTCTGAACTACATTAGGCCATAACCCTAGCCCATCAATTATTAAGATTAATAATAATTATAATAAGGATATCACTTGCGTGAGACTGTCTCACATGTCTAAATCCGTGAGACGGTTCGAAACTTTTAATTTATTTTTATTTTAAATAATTTTTTATTTTTTAATTTATTATAATAAAAATGAATTAACTATAACTAATTCCTTAAGTTATTTTAATATAATAATAATTTTTATTAACAATATAAGAATTTGAGGGAAATTAAAATAAAGTAACTATAACTAATTTCTTAAGTCATTCAAAAATATTTTTTGAGTATAAAGAATCAATATCAGCCCCATTAGGGATTGAACTCATGACCTCTCATTTAAAAGAGTCACTTTGTGCCACTAGATAACAAAGTCATTGGCTAAGTTATTCAAATATAATATCTAGCAAAGTATAGAAATTAAACGAACAAATT